GTGCTAGGGGCCTGGTCAGGTGACTTACTGTCACCTTTTGCCTCAGCACCATGACAATCCTGTATTGTCAAAAGTTCCAATAAACAAACAAACAAACAAACATGCCCCTACAGTACAACTGGCCCGACACTTTCTATTTTGTCCCCTTGTGCACTTTCTGGCGCAAGATGAGCTAAACTGAAGCACGAGTAACCTTCCAGCTTGCTACCTGTTCAGTTGGAACCCTCAAGCTACGTCCCTTTTCCCTTGACGGCCAAAATTTGAACGCAGGCATGGTTACTGCGGAATACCAAAAGTCTGCCTTTTGTCTCCGAGGGACGTCCACTTTGCACAGCCAGGATAACGCTGTCCGCAGTCGTGCTGGGACGTCCTTGCTACGGCTTGGCCGACACATTTGTTTTCTCGGCTTCTGTACTTTCCCACGTCGGCTTGTTTCAAGTCCAGCTACAGCATTCTTGTCGAATGGTACCTGTGAGTTCTGAAGGCTTGATGTCGACCTGTATTCTCTGCACAGCCCCCTACGGGGTTCTGCAGAAACCCCTGTCTCAGTAAATCACGTAGGTTTTCAATGAAGTGTGTCTCCACATCTTACGGGGCTGGGCAAGCAACACCGAGGACACAGTCTTCTTGTCTGCAGTGCCTCTTTATTCTCAGACACTACAAAACCCCACGCCACTGTTCAAAGGCTCGAAAAATCAGGACTACCTTCAGCTTTTGCGTTCGTACATAAACTTTGACACCAGCTGTGTTAACCAACCTGGGCTCGTTCATTACAGGAGGAAAGCAAGCACTCGTATCAAAAATGAATCGTCGCTCTAGCACTCTTAGTTTCCTAGACATGAGCAGTACATAAAAAACAGCCGACTCTCTTATTAGGCCAACATTAATGTGCTTTTCTGGTTCAGTTATGAAATAATCGCAATAGAACCATTTGTATTTACTGTGCAGGCCGTTTCTTTAATGCAACTTCTCAATTACCTAAAAGAAATGGTAATCTGAAGAGTCATCTTTTTTCACTAAAAAAAAACAACAAAAAAAAAACAGAAAAAACACCAGAAATGAGCCGAGTTCTCCGAGCGGTTTTATTAGGTGGATAAAACAAATTTTGCGTTTGCTATCTCGAAGAAATTTGACACACAAACACTCCTACCTGGTGCGACACCCTTTCCCGACAATCGGATCGCTTAATGGTTTTCTAATTCCGAGCGAGCGGCAGCTCTTTGAAGTATATCCATCCACTTGTGCTCGGGACACCCTCCCTGTTGATCGATGAGTCTCGATTGAGATGAGCTGACGCGGTTTCACTGCACACACATGTTCCTATGATGTTGTTTTCACGACCACAATCGATGAATGCACTCCAGCGGTCTTGAATATCCACAGGCGAACGAATGAACTTGGTCGGGCTTGTTAATTTCCGAGCAGAGTCCCAAAACCTGTTTTCGCGAATATAACGAGTTCTAGACTAGCTGGAGCGATGAAATTTTAACAGTGCGTCTAAATTCAGAGCGCGATCATTCGCTGCGAATTAGAACCCTCTAGCTATCGTAGTTTTTTTTATACGAGCATATGTGAAGTCAAAACATCGTACAGTGAAGCCTTACTTACACGTAAACTTCTGTTGATAACTTTCTTTTTAGAATACCTACATCGATGAGACGCGCCTCGAATGTTCCTCGGAACATAATCTTACTCCCTGGTTAAAATAAATGTCCTAGCTAGCCTACTTTCCGAGCTTCGTGCGATTGAATCACCTCCGGTTGCGAGCAAAACACGCGGCAGCCATTTGCTTTTTTTGCAAAAACCAAACCAGAACCACGAATGGGCGGTAAATTTCTAAATACTTGACCTAAATAATTTAAACTTGTTGTGGAACACGGGTCTCGACGACATCGTTTTCAAAAATAAGACGATTCCCGTAATTCTAAGTTTGGTTTTATTAAACCAGGGCTGTGTTTCAAATCTCACCCTAATAAACCCGAGTTACTCGGGCGGATCGTGTCACGTGACAGCAGAAATGAAAGAACGCTGGACGCAGGCAGGTTTCAAAACGCCAGGTGTACAGAAGCTTTACCTCGCAGTATGATTTCGTTAATTTTAAAACACGGCCAGGAATTACATTTTTTATGAATGAATAGATAGATGACCCGTTTCGAATGAATGGATCCATGAGTGCGGCTGAGCAATTCCGACCGGTCGGTAAATCCCGCCACCTGGTGCCTTTTGTTTTACCATTGAAAATATTGAATTTCTGAAATCTATATTACGACCTTGAATTTACGATATCAAATGGGGGACACTTGTTCCCAGCCGCCCCTGGACTGGACAGAGACCGATTTCTTTTCTTGTGTGATGCGAGTTTCGCGAAATAAACGGCGTTTGAAAGTTTTCACATCGAAGCCAGCCATTCGCTTTCCTCACTTTAGGCACCGATCCTTTCTTCGATCTCGCTTCATTAATACTGGTCGTATCTCGTCACCGCTAGCACCGATGTGTTCCTTGGTCTTTCTAGACTCTACGGACACCACTTTGAACGTGTGTAATAAAAGGTTTCGCGATGCTACGACGCTTTTACCGTGGGCATGGTCATGGCGGCCAATTCTAATTTCCGAACCTGTGTTCGGACCTCCGAGGCTGAATTTTCGTTTCCGAGACGCGATATTGGTGTCAAACGTGAGCACGCGTTCCGTAGAAAAGTATGTGTAAGGCTTCATTCTGTGGTGTTCTGATTTTGCATTTCCGCTTGTATAAAGAAAACTACGATAGTTGGAACGTTCTAATTCGCAGCGATGTGTTCCTTGGTCTTTCTAGACTCTACGGACACCACTTTGAACGTGTGTAATAAAAGGTTTCGCGATGCTACGACGCTTTTGCCGTGGGCATGGTCATGGCGGCCAATTGTACTTTCCGAACATCTGTTCGGACCTCCGAGGCTGAATTTTCGTTTCCGAGACGCGATGTTGGTGTCAAACGTGAGCACGCGTTCCGTAGAAAAGTATGTGTAAGGCTTCATTCTGTGGTGTTCTGATTTTGCATTTCCGCTTGTATAAAGAAAACTACGATAGTTGGAAGGTTCTAATTCGCAGCGATGTGTTCCTTGGTCTTTCTAGACTCTACGGACACCACTTTGAACGTGTGTAATAAAAGGTTTCGCGATGCTACGACGCTTTTGCCGTGGGCATGGTCATGGCGGCCAATTGTACTTTCCGAACATGTGTTCGGACCTCCGAGGCTGAATTTTCGTTTCCGAGACGCGATGTTGGTGTCAAACGTGAGCACGCGTTCCGTAGAAAAGTATGTGTAAGGCTTCATTCTGTGGTGTTCTGATTTGGCATATGCTCGTATAAAGAAAACTACGATAGTTGGAAGGTTCTAATTTGCAGCGAATGATCGCGCTCTGAATTTAGACGCACGGTTAAATTTTCATCGCTCCAGCTCGTCTAGAACTCGTTATATTCGCGAAAACAGGTTTTGGGGACTCTGCTTGGAGATTCAAAACCCCGACCAAGTTCAATCGTTCACCCGTGAATATTCAAGACCGCTGGAGTGCATTCATCGATTGTGGTCGTGAAAACAACATCATAGGAAAATGTGCGTGCAGTGAAACCGTGTCAGCTCATCTCAATCGAGACTTTTCGATCAACAGGGACGGTCTCCCGAGCACGAGTGGATTGATATTCTTCAAAGAGCTGCCGCCCGCTCGTAATTAGAAAACAATTATAGGTACAACTATCAAATTGTTGGGGAAGGGTCTCGTACCAGGTAGCAGTGTTTGTGTGTCAAATTTCTTCGAGACAGCACACGCGAAACTTGTTTATTCGACCTAATAAGACCACTCAGTACTGGAATGATTTCGGCTGTTTTTCCAGTTCTTTTTTCAGCGAAAAAGAAGACCGTAGGCTAGCTAGGACATTTATTTTAACCAGGGGAGTGTGATTATGTTCCGAGGAACATTCGATGCGCGTCTCATCGATGTAGCTAATAAAGTTATGAGCAAAAGTTTGTGGTCGGTGATGTCCGAGCAGAGTCCCAAAACCCGTTTTCGCGAATATAACGAGTTCTAGACGAGCTGGAGCGATGAAATTTTAAACGTTTTTCGATATTGCTCACCGCTTCATCATTTGCTACCACACTTTGCTTTTTTGTTCTGAAGCGCTCCCTCGGTTAAAAGGAACGTTCGCTATGCGCGCGAGATTAATATAATTCATTCATCTCGTGCGGCGCGCGCTCGGCGGAGCGGCTGGTCGTTTGAAGGCTCACCAGAGCGCGAGCAAGACTTCAAAGAGCTGCCGCTCGCTCGTACAACTATCAAATTGTTGGGGAAGGGTCTCGCACCAGGTAGGAGTGTTTGTGTGTCAAATTTCTTCGAGACAGCACACGCAAAAGTTGGGGCCAGTTGTACTCTAGGGGCATGTATACAAAAAGCTCTGTAGGGTTGTGTGGAGTCCCTCTTGCAGAACAGATGTGTATTTGTCCTCACCGTCTCTGGAAAAGACGACCATAACACAGAATGAACGTCCCTCGGAGACAAAAGGCACACTTTTGGTTTGGCGCAGAAACAACGCCTGCATTCAGATTTTGGCCGTCAAGGTAAAACGGACGTAGCTTGAGGGTTGAAGCTGAACAGGTAGCAAGCTAGAAGGTTACTCATGCTTCAGCTGAGCTCATCTTGTGCCTGAAAGTGCACAAGGGGAGAAAATAGAAAGTGTGGGGCCAGTTGTACTGTAGGGGCGTGTCTACAAAAAGCTCTGCAGGAACAAACCTTTTCCCGAGGTGGACAGCAGGGGCCTGAAGACATAAATAAAAAAGAAGTGACACATTTAACGAGTCTTCACTGCGCCAGAAAAACAAGAATCAGCTCATTTCTTTTTGAGACCTCAGAGTTTATTAGGCCAAGAATACAATTTTTCAGACGAGCTGTCTCAATGTAAAAACACACTTCCTTATTAGTACCCTGCCATGAAAATCTCACAGTTCGTATAGTGTTCTTTTTTTTTTACCTAGGAGCTAGCTAGCACGATTTCACACATATGTTGCTCGCAGAGAGTTGTCACAATCGGTGTTTCCCATCCCGCGGTCTTTGATGAAGCACAGGTGAACACACATGTTGCTCGCAGAGAGTTGTCACAATCGGTGTTTCCATTGAAGCGGTCATCCGCAGCTGAAGAAGACTCGGGTCAGGAGGCCATTGGTTTCTTGAAACGGAGGGCCAGCCGTGCAACTCGCTCGAGCTGCACAAAAGACAAAACAATCTTTAGCGCCCTACATTCAAAAAGATACGCGAAACGATCTCACGCCAAATATATTTTTTAGGCCAGGCTCGCAGAATTGTGGAATGCCTTTTTCCCCCCTATTATAGTTTGATCGCACACCTCAATTTCAAAATGAACCTTGTCATCTCCTTTCCCGAGGCAGTATTCCATCATTTCGCGGCGGACGCGCTTTAGAGCTCAATTATAGAGTATACACTTTATAGTGAAAGCTTTCTTTGCCGAGCATAGACCTATCAAGAAGCAGTTGGATGAAATATCGGTATTCGACGCGGGTCTTGCTCGCGCTCTGGTGAGCCTTCAAACGACCAGCCGCTCCGCCGAGCGCGCGCCGCACGAGATGAATGAATTAAATTAATCTCGCGCGCATAGCGAACGTTCCTTTTACCCGAGGGAGCGCTTCAGAACAAAAAAGCAAATTGTGGTAGCAAATGATGAAGCGGTGAGCAATATCGAACCTGAAAATGACTGCTTTCGTGCGGGAAGTCGCGTCAGTGCCCGTACAGTAATCCATCGACTCGATCCGAGGTAAACTACAGTCGTCGGGTCTTCTACGGAACGCGTGCTCACGTTTGACACCAACATCGCGTCTCGGAAACGAAAATTCAGCCTCGGAGGGCCGAACACAGGTTCGGAAATTAGAATTGGCCGCCATGACCATGCCCACGGTGAAAGCGTCGTAGCTTCGCGAAAGCTTTTATTTCACACGTTCAAAGTGGTGTCCATAGAGTCTAGAAAGAACAAGGAACACATCGGTGCCAGCGGTGATGAGATACGACCAGTATTAATGAAGGGAGATCAACGAGAATGCTTCCCTTAATAAATAGTTCAAAATAAAATTGAGTGCCTCCTGGCGGAGGGCAGACACACTAGCCGAGGCGAGTGGTGTGTCTGCCCTCCACCAGGCAGCGCGATCCACTTTCCCGACGTTTTTGTGGCTAGGTGGCGTAAGCTACCGCCGGATCCAAAGGGCTCAGCCGTATTTATCTATCCATCCATCCGCCGTTACCAAGTTGCGCGCGCACACGCTTCTTAGTAACCCGTGGCAACGGTTACTTTTTTTTCCTTCTCTTTGTTTGTCCCTCCCCCCCCCCCCCCGTTTCTTTCTTTGGCCCGCTAATTGCTTGTTTGTTCTTTTGTCTTTCTCTTTCTTTCTTTCTCTCTCCTCCTCGCTCATCCTCCTCCGCTTTCCTTTGTTCCGAGAGGCCGGCCCCAGTGTGGTTTCGGTTGTGCTTCGGAGCAGTCGCGTAGTCACCCGTGTCCAGCTCCTGCTTTGTTCTTTGTTCCGAAATCGGTCTTCTTCTTCTTCGGACCCCGAACGTCGCCTCACGGTTCCTGCCTTCGTCAAAGGGCCTCCTTTCGTTCGAAACATTGGGGTAAGTGTACGTCCATTATACTATCCTTTAATTCGAGTTTTTGATTGCCTCGTTTCTTCCCCTTATTCTGAGACGGCGCCAGGGATCCTCTGGACGCGGACTGAACGAAAAAAAGCGCTTTTATTCGAGATTTCGCTTCTCCGGGATAATATTTGCCGAAATAAAGTTGACTGGGTTTTTGAGCTAAGTTTCAGAGTGCTCAAAGTGTCAGTCTATAAATGCGAATAAAGAATAGCTCCCCACTGCTGCTCCAGAAACGAAGTATATTTTTTCTGCGACTGTTATTTGCTCCGTGCGACGTCGTGTGTTGCCGTCCCCACGTCGCTGCAGATATGGCGCTTTCTAAACTGAAACGCGTCGACATTCCTGCTCTTGTTTAAATCATACGCTGCTATAAAAATCCCTCTCTAACTCAATGACTGCTTGGCCGTGAGGGAAAGTGCGCCCTTGAGTATTAATTAGGCGCGTACAGAAGCTTATTTAATCGCAAACTAAGGCGCTAATTGTTCCCTACCTCTCGTCCGAAGCAGGGACTTGTAGCACGAATTGGTGATTTTTTGTGATTTTTTGAAGGAGCAGGGGAGGCACGTTTAGAGCGAAATTCATGCATTGGCCGTGTGGGAAAGCGCGACTTTGAGTATTAATTAGGCGCGTACAGAAGCTTATTTAATCGTAAAATAAGGCGCTAATTGTTCGCTAACTCTCGCCCGAAGCAGGGACTTGTAGCACGAATTGGTGATTTTTTGTGATTTTTTGAAGCAGCAGGGGAGGCACGTTTAGAGCGAAATTCATGCATTGGCCGTGTGGGAAAGCGCGACTTTGAGTATTAATTAGGCGCGTGCAGAAGCTTATTTAATCGTAAAATAAGGCGCTAATTGTTCGCTAACTCTCGCCCGAAGCAGGGACTTGTAGCACGAATTGGTGATTTTTTGTGATTTTTTGAAGCAGCAGGGGAGGCACGTTTAGAGCGAAATTCATGCATTGGCCGTGTGGGAAAGCGCGACTTTGAGTATTAATTAGGCGCGTACAGAAGCTTATTTAATCGTAAAATAAGGCGCTAATTGTTCGCTAACTCTCGCCCGAAGCAGGGACTTGTAGCACGAATTGGTGATTTTTTGTGATTTTTTGAAGCAGCAGGGGAGGCACGTTTAGAGCGAAATTCATGCATTGGCCGTGTGGGAAAGCGCGACTTTGAGTATTAATTAGGCGCGTGCAGAAGCTTATTTAATCTAAAATAAGGCGCTAATGGTTCGCTAACTCTCGCCCGAAGTAGGGACTTGTAGCACGAATTGGTGATTTTTTGTGATTTTTTGAAGCAGCAGGGGAGGCACGTTTAGAGCGAAATTCATGCATTGGCCGTGTGGGAAAGCGCGACTTTGAGTATTAATTAGGCGCGTGCAGAAGCTTATTTAATCGTAAAATAAGGCGCTAATTGTTCGCTAACTCTCGCCCGAAGCAGGGACTTGTAGCACGAATTGGTGATTTTTTGTGATTTTTTGAAGGAGCAGGGGAGGCACGTTTAGAGCGAAATTCATGCATTGGCCGTGTGGGAAAGCGCGACTTTGAGTATTAATTAGGCGCGTGCAGAAGCTTATTTAATCGTAAAATAAGGCGCTAATTGTTCGCTAACTCTCGCCCGAAGCAGGGACTTGTAGCACGAATTGGTGATTTTTTGTGATTTTTTGAAGCAGCAGGGGAGGCACGTTTAGAGCGAAATTCATGCATTGGCCGTGTGGGAAAGCGCGACTTTGAGTATTAATTAGGCGCGTACAGAAGCTTATTTAATCGTAAAATAAGGCGCTAATTGTTCGCTAACTCTCGCCCGAAGCAGGGACTTGTAGCACGAATTGGTGATTTTTTGTGATTTTTTGAAGCAGCAGGGGAGGCACGTTTAGAGCGAAATTCATGCATTGGCCGTGTGGGAAAGCGCGACTTTGAGTATTAATTAGGCGCGTGCAGAAGCTTATTTAATCGTAAAATAAGGCGCTAATTGTTCGCTAACTCTCGCCTGAAGCAGGGACTTGTAGCACGAATTGGTGATTTTTTGTGATTTTTTGAAGGAGCAGGGGAGGCACGTTTAGAGCGAAATTCATGCATTGGCCGTGTGGGAAAGCGCGACTTTGAGTATTAATTAGGCGCGTGCAGAAGCTTATTTAATCGTAAAATAAGGCGCTAATTGTTCGCTAACTCTCGCCCGAAGCAGGGACTTGTAGCACGAATTGGTGATTTTTTGTGATTTTTTGAAGCAGCAAGGGAGGCACGTTTAGAGCGAAATTCATGCATTGGCCGTGTGGGAAAGCGCGACTTTGAGTATTAATTAGGCGCGTACAGAAGCTTATTTAATCGTAAAATAAGTCGCTAATTGTTCGCTAACTCTCGCCCGAAGCAGGGACTTGTAGCACGAATTGGTGATTTTTTGTGATTTTTTGAAGCAGCAGGGGAGGCACGTTTAGAGCGAAATTCATGCATTGGCCGTGTGGGAAAGCGCGACTTTGAGTATTAATTAGGCGCGTGCAGAAGCTTATTTAATCGTAAAACAAGGCGCTAATTGTTCGCTAACTCTCGCCCGAAGCAGGGACTTGTAGCACGAATTGGTGATTTTTTGTGATTTTTTGAAGCAGCAGGGGAGGCACGTTTAGAGCGAAATTCATGCATTGGCCGTGTGGGAAAGCGCGACTTTGAGTATTAATTAGGCGCGTGCAGAAGCTTATTTAATCGTAAAATAAGGCGCTAATTGTTCGCTAACTCTCGCCCGAAGCAGGGACTTGTAGCACGAATTGGTGATTTTTTGTGATTTTTTGAAGCAGCAGGGGAGGCACGTTTAGAGCGAAATTCATGCATTGGCCGTGTGGGAAAGCGCGACTTTGAGTATTAATTAGGGTCGTGCAGAAGCTTATTTAATCGTAAAATAAGGCGCTAATTGTTCGCTAACTCTCGCCCGAAGCAGGGACTTGTAGCACGAATTGGTGATTTTTTGTGATTTTTTGAAGGAGCAGGGGAGGCACGTTTAGAGCGAAATTCATGCATTGGCCGTGTGGGAAAGCGCGACTTTGAGTATTAATTAGGCGCGTGCAGAAGCTTTTTTAATCGTAAAATAAGGCGCTAATTGTTCGCTAACTCTCGCCCGAAGCAGGGACTTGTAGCACGAATTGGTGATTTTTTGTGATTTTTTGAAGCAGCAGGGGAGGCACGTTTAGAGCGAAATTCATGCATTGGCCGTGTGGGAAAGCGCGACTTTGAGTATTAATTAGGCGCGTACAGAAGCTTATTTAATCGTAAAATAAGGCGCTAATTGTTCGCTAACTCTCGCCCGAAGCAGGGACTTGTAGCACGAATTGGTGATTTTTTGAAGCAGCAGGGGAGGCACGTTTAGAGCGAAATTCATGCATTGGCCGTGTGGGAAAGCGCGACTTTGAGTATTAATTAGGCGCGTGCAGAAGCTTATTTAATCGTAAAATAAGGCGCTAATTGTTCGCTAACTCTCGCCCGAAGCAGGGACTTGTAGCACGAATTGGTGATTTTTTGTGATTTTTTGAAGCAGCAGGGGAGGCACGTTTAGAGCGAAATTCATGCATTGGCCGTGTGGGAAAGCGCGACTTTGCGTATTAATTAGGCGCGTGCAGAAGCTTATTTAATCGTAAAATAAGGCGCTAATTGTTCGCTAACTCTCGCCCGAAGCAGGGACTTGTAGCACGAATTGGTGATTTTTTGTGATTTTTTGAAGCAGCAGGGGAGGCACGTTTAGAGCGAAATTCATGCATTGGCCGTGTGGGAAAGCGCGACTTTGAGTATTAATTAGGCGCGTGCAGAAGCTTATTTAATCGTAAAATAAGGCGCTAATTGTTCGCTAACTCTCGCCCGAAGCAGGGACTTGTAGCACGAATTGGTGATTTTTTGTGATTTTTTGAAGGAGCAGGGGAGGCACGTTTAGAGCGAAATTCATGCATTGGCCGTGTGGGAAAGCGCGACTTTGAGTATTAATTAGGCGCGTACAGAAGCTTATTTAATCGTAAAATAAGGCGGTAATTGTTCGCTAACTCTCGCCCGAAGCAGGGACTTGTAGCACGAATTGGTGATTTTTTGTGATTTTTTGAAGCAGCAGGGGAGGCACGTTTAGAGCGAAATTCATGCATTGGCCGTGTGGGAAAGCGCGACTTTGAGTATTAATTAGGCGCGTGCAGAAGCTTATTTAATCGTAAAATAAGGCGCTAATTGTTCGCTAACTCTCGCCCGAAGCAGGGACTTGTAGCACGAATTGGTGATTTTTTGTGATTTTTTGAAGCAGCAGGGGAGGCACGTTTAGAGCGAAATTCATGCATTGGCCGTGTGGGAAAGCGCGACTTTGAGTATTAATTAGGCGCGTGCAGAAGCTTATTTAATCGTAAAATAAGGCGCTAATTGTTCGCTAACTCTCGCCCGAAGCAGGGACTTGTAGCACGAATTGGTGATTTTTTGTGATTTTTTGAAGCAGCAGGGGAGGCACGTTTAGAGCGAAATTCATGCATTGGCCGTGTGGGAAAGCGCGACTTTGAGTATTAATTAGGCGCGTGCAGAAGCTTATTTAATCGTAAAATAAGGCGCTAATTGTTCGCTAACTCTCGCCCGAAGCAGGGACTTGTAGCACGAATTGGTGATTTTTTGTGATTTTTTGAAGGAGCAGGGGAGGCACGTTTAGAGCGAAATTCATGCATTGGCCGTGT